ACTTTATTCTTTTCTGGTTCTGAATGGGTGGGCTTGAGGCTGAGGGGCCCGCTACCAACTTTCTTTGTAGTTTCCTCTCGCATGTAGACTTGACATTTACAATTTATTTTCGGTTAATGAGCCAGAGCCCATTGTGATTTTTCTGTAGCCGGTAGCCCATTGTGAATGCCCAATCCCAATGTGAAATTGATATCCACTTCTATCGCAAGAAACTGGATTTGCTCCTGATAGAGCGATCCCCACACCAACCTCACATGGCAGCCATACATCAGAAGTATCTCCTATAAATAAATAAATTAATTAAAAAAGAGAAAGAAAAACGAAGCATGGCACTCTGCTAAACCTATCAATCTATTTTCACTTTTATAATGGTGCTTTTTTTTAAGCAGAATATCTACGTATTATATAAAATAGATATTTGTCTTTATTTTTTATATATAGATCATCAAACTGAAACCTAAATATTATATTTTTTATTGATCAATATTTACAGGTGTGCTCTAATTTGAATTTGCTCCACACAAAGCACACTATACACCAAACCTGACAGTGCATCACAGTCATGCATTGGGAACATCTTTACATAAATGATAACATCAATTATGGCAGATGTTCTCAATGCATGGCTGCAGTACACAATGAGATTGGGGTGTGACATGCTCTATAAGGAGCAAATTTGATCTCATATAAAGTTGCATAAATTAGGGATATACAGAATTTTTACAATCTCTCCCTTGTGAATTGTGATTATAAATTTAAGGCTTCATTCGATTCCAGGAAAGAGAATGAGAATGATCGTGAGTGGCTCGCTTACCTAGTTTTTGGATAGATCATTTACTCATTCATGCCAAAAATTAGTTTTTGGATAAAGCGGTCAATGTACAACTTTATTTATAAATAAAAAAGAAACATTTATATATATATATATATATAGATTATTCGGGTAATTGTGAATACATTTACCCACGGGCAAGGTCATTTTTTATTCAAAGCTAGCTAATAATGCTTTGATTTACCATATAATTAAGTTTGTTGTTTAAAATTTGGATCTAGATTTCTCTTCCGTTTTCACATGCAAATCACTTGCAGTTAGCAGGATTCGAAGTTCCAACCCAATAAAAATGTTTCATATACTGGCGGAGACGTACGGATTTGTCTAATGCAGATTTTTTATTTACGCTTCAGAGCTATAAACATTTAAAAGGGCCACAATCCACACCTTATGCACTAAATTGGTATCAATTCCGAGTTGGCACCTACTCCTCAGTACTTTGAGTCTATAAATTTTGGCCCTAGGTTGATGGTCATTCTCCCCATATACCGGCGTAGAATAAAGTTTGGATAGACAATGATCGCATCATGCATTGGGTTCCAGAGAGCGAAGACCAGCTATGGCTAAATTACGGCAACTGATTAGCATATAAAAAGCATAAATTCCATTTAAAAAAATAAGGGGCCGTTTGGCAAGTCTTTTTGGGAAGATTTCCTGGTAGCTCTGATAGTCAAAAGATGCATTGAGCTTTTGCTTGAAGATTTGAGTAGCTCGAAGCTAGCTTGGCTATCATGCGTCTTTCCGTGCGTCTTCCAATGTCTTTTTGTGCGAGAATAAAATGAAAAATACACAAAAAACTTTATTTGGAACTTCCCAAAATGGGTTTCTTGCATTTTTTTGACGCCCTTGCTTTTGACAGTTAGATCTTCAGCAAACCAAATGAAAATAAACCGAAAAACAGTCTTCCAAACTTCTAAACAAATGGAAAACTACATAGAAAGATTTGCCAAACAGGCCCTAAAAGAACCGTATAATAGGACTAGTGACTAGTGCACAAGAGTAATTACTGCTCATAAAATAATTGCTCTCAAACATCGTGTCAACTAGTTAGTTGGTAAAGGATTGGGGCAACCCCCAGGGGGTTAGGACTTAGGAGCCACCGTACGTTGTGTAATCCCATGAAACCAAATAAATAAATAAGTAAGTAATAATTATTTTTGAAATCGGATTCAGTCCGAATAAGACCTTGTTCATAATGTATTTACAGCTAATTGCAATTTTGTATTGAAAATATCTTTATATTTATATGTTTTTTATTTATAAGGAGATACTCTTAATGTACCGTTGTAAGTGGATGTGAGCATGATATGAATACGGCCTTGTGGGGGTTACATCTGAATTCATTATGATTTTGAAAATCAGATCAAATTAGATGGTCGGACTGGTTGATTTGGGATGAACTTGTCAGACAATCAGTTTCATTTCACCCAAAAACCATTCCTAAGCTAAAAATTATTGATTTGATCAATAACCCGCTGACGCAGGTGATCGAATCATCAACCTGAATAACAACTTTTGGCCATTTTTTAAAAATCAGAACGAACCATCTATTTAGACTGGGTGGTCGGACCATTTTACTCGGAATCCAGTGGCCAAACGGTTCTGTATCCGATCCGGTTTTTAAAGCCTTGGAAATCATTACTTTCAAGATGCAGCAAAAAAATTAAAGGCAAAATCAAGAGCTGAATACAAACCACACAAAACAGAACTTTTACTTACACTCACGAGGGCTGTCTTGACATGCATGAGCAGGAATTATTGTAAATAATCTTACATCATTAACGAGAAGTTGATGTTTTGTTTCAAAAAAAAAAAAATTACACGTTTTGATAGGCTCCACGATAGTTTAAAATCCTTTTGCCGTGTGAGCCCTGAGCCCGGATCTATATCCCCAAACTCTCTCCACAACCCTACCCACATGACACTATAACTGTCCGTTCTGTAATATATTATTTGTCATTCATATGTAGATATTCCCAATAATACACGAGATCTAGAGTTTTGCCAGGCTGCTTTATGTTGGGGGTTCAATGGAATCCAATGCGTTTCAACTTCAGTATAGAGCTGTCAATGGATCGGCATAGTAATTGGTTAGAAACTTAGAACAGTAAAAACTGATTCCGACTCGATTATAATTGACACAAAACTCAATACCAAAATTGATATAATTTGTTCAATTGGTTCCTTTCTATTAGCCAAACCAAATTTGTTGACAAATCTACTGATTGATTTAAGGGTAAATCATTAAAACATCCCCTTGAGTTTGGTAATTGCAATCATCTTCCTTGAACATTCTAACATAGTTGCAAATAGATTCTCTTTGTTAAAATTCTTTAGAACAAAAATCATACAGATTTTATGAACAACAACAAAAAAGAGAATTGCAGTTTTATCTTTGAGCGATTGATATAAAGGGCACATTTAAAAAAAATAAATTAATTAATTTTGGAAAAGAGATTGAAAAGGCTTGTGATAACAATTGATATAAAGAGAAAACTTGAAAAATAAACATGGATATTTTAGACATTTTCGTGCCTCTTGTTAGAGGATTTTAACAGAGGGGTTCCAATAATGGTCCAAAACTTCAAGAAAAATTCCAACAATTTACCATTGATTTAAATCCCTCGTGTCTAAAGAAGAAATTTGAACTAAATTGGCATTTAGGACTAATAAGTTCTAAATGTGATTTGAATAGTATTTCAAGAAGTATTTAATTATAAAAAAAAAAAAAAATCATTACCTACAGACACCAAGTCTTGAGGGGGATGGAGTGGATACAGTTTAAGATTTTACCATTACAACAAGTAATGGCCCCTATTTGATGCAGATATTGAATTTGAATATTTGAGATCAAATATGAGTTTAGTTTCTGAAAAATGGAAACCAAATTAACTTTGATATAATATTTAATAAGTGAATTTGAATTGGATCAACACTCCATCTCCTTCGTTCATCGTACAAGCAATTGTGTTGCAGATCGTATTGTTTCCTTAGCTACATCAACATCATTTACGTGATCTGCTGTCCCTTCTTTTTCTATTACCTGCACTCATACTCATGAAAGACTTGGTGGAATGAATTTGCCTTAAGGCTTAAGAAAATAAAAACAACATACACCCATTATATGAAAAGAAATTTCTCCAAGGCCACAACTTTTTATTTTTTATTTATTTTCCCACCAATCAAACATGGCAGTAACGAGTAAGGTTTAATTGAACACTTTGGCTGTTTAGCTGACTGTGAAACTAATGATAAGGTTACACTATTACGAGACCCACACCCTTCATTCATGAATATATTAATGGAAACTTCATTATTGGTTCCACAGCCCTGAATACCGTTCCACACCCTGTTCAGCGTTCAGTTAATTCAAATTTTGAGTTAATATGTTTATGATTTTTAAAAATGGATCGGATCGGACCAGAAAAATCAGAAACTGGTCAAGTGATCAATTCCATTTTTTCCTAAAATCGGATTTTTGCAAAAAAAAAAAAAAATCATTGATTTAGTCAGTAATTCGCTAACCCAGAAAGTTGAACCGTTTGAACCATTCAACAGTTTTGACCTATTTTTAATTTTTTTTTGTTAGAATGGGCTAACCGTTTGACCTGGGAACCGGACCCCTGACCGGTTCAATTTTAAAAACCTTGAATATGTCAATATCAACATTTGAGCTCCATTTGATTCACGGGAATAGGGGTATGGAATCAAAATCAAAATGGGCTATTCCAATTACAACTATTTGGTTGGGTGGAATCAGAATCCTATTCTCATTCTTGTTGGAACGGCATTCTCCCATTTGAGGGAATAGCCATTCCCCGCCCCTCCCTTGGGAATGAATACCAATTCCTACTTATTTTAATTTCCAATTCCATTCCTGTTTGAACCAAACAGACTATAGGAATATACTATTCCCGATTCTGGAAGATTTTCATTCCATTCCAATTCCGATAACCAAACGGACCTTGGATTTTTCATTTGAAAAGGGTACTTTTATATTTTTCTTTGTCTAACCTAACTGTCACGGTGTCACCTCACCTTACCTCGTTAGAGAGTTACGAGGAGGAAATTGAAACCAAATAAGAATAACCGACTAGAAAAGTTTGAGCATCAACTAGTTACGACTTCTGAGTTGTGTACGGAAACCCCAGATTACGGAATGGTGGTGTGTTAGATATTTTGCGTTGGAATCAAGGGTTTGTTTCGTAAATTCAGGGGCGTATAAATAAGGGAGCTTCATAGCCGGATAGACCTGCGTTCCGGCCGTTCGAGAAGCCATCAGTCGTCCGGACTCCTGAGTCCAGCAAGCCAACCGAGAAATAAGGCTTCCCTTGCGTCTCTCTCTCTCTCTCTAGTCTAGCCTCTATATAATCTCTCTCTCTAGTCTAGCCTCCATATAATCTCTCTCTTCTTTTCTACGGTTTCAGTTCAGACACGTTTGAGCGGGCAACTTCTCGATCAGTCTTGAAGGTAATTACCCGATTTCTCGAACAATTACAATACCAATAACAACAACAAAATAATGGCGATTTGTATTGTAATGACCTTATCGATTAATTTGGTTGATCTCGGTCTGAGGCTTTGTTGTTTGACGTCCATTTTTTTTAAGAGATTTAGATATTCTTGTTTTTTTAAGAAAATTTCGAGATTTCTTTCGTTAGTTTGAATAATTCACTTTTTTGAAGCTATGTTTTTCTGTTTGTTTCTTTGCAAGAATTTTTAGTCATTAATGTGCAATCTCAGCTGGATTGGTTCGTAATCTTCTCTCTCTCTCTCTCTCATCCTGATCATAATGAAATTTGTTTTGCAATTTTGAAGAAAATGTCTCTTTTTTTTTGAATAATTAATTGACACTTTTGTTGTTTGAAGCAGAATCAGCCGAACGAGAGGCGTGAACTAGAGACCGACGAGCAAAACATCACGAAACCGGAATTTGTAAGGAGTCCTTCGAGGAATCTTGAAGCTCTGAATTCCGCCTAGACAGCTTAAATCCGTTTGGAATTCGGATTTCCTCAGGCTTTCGGGGGATCCTGGAAAGAGTGCCGTTCAGTTCTGTGAAAGTCTCAACGACTTCACAGGATTAGTGAATTCTACTTTCAGATAATAAATATTTTAACTTTTACTGGAGAGGTTATAAAAAGGTTGGCGGCTGACCACGGATCGAAGCACCTTTAGTGGATGTGTGCGAGTTTAAGCTCATTTGGAATTGGGGTTTATGGGAAACATGGAGAGGCTTCTGTTGTCTGTGCTGGCGGAGAGCCAGGCCGGAGGAGGGTCGGTGCTTACAACGATGAAGTTTGCGGTCTTACCTATAGCGAAGGTCTTCACAATGTGCTTCTTGGGATTTCTCATGGCATCCAAGTATGTTAATATTCTACCCGCTACAGGACGCAAGCTCTTGAACGGGGTAAGCTAATGAGTTCCCAGAACAAACCCTTTCTCTTCCTGACAATTGAGTTTTCACCCTCTTGCTATTCTGCATTACTTTGCCTAGCTTCTTCTAGATATGGTGCCTTAGATGGATAAATTCTATTGAATCAAGAATAACAAATTTTTTCCCTTTTTTTTTGGAATTATCTATCGAAAATGAACTCAAATAGGAAGTGTTTATTGCTTTGCACTTTTTCTACAGCTTCTGTTGATGAATAAATCAGACAACTCCAAACGAACAGAGGAAACACAACTTATCAGAATAATTCCTGCAGAGTAGCAATACATGTCAATTATCAACAGATTTCCATTTAGGCTATCTTCGGATTTGAAGATGCCCCCCAAGATTGTGCTGAGCCGAAATCCCTAAATCCCATGCTCATTTTAGTCGGTCAAAAGGCAGAGAGCAAACTGCCATATCTCAGCATATACCATTTTCAGACCCAAAAAATGAAATCTGGAAACTTGTTGGGCCGAACATTTGAATATATGGCAGTGAAGGAGCTTGTAGCCTTTATATTGGTTTTTTGTGTATTATTGAATACCTTCTAATTCCGGGAGGGAGGAAAAAATATAGACTTAAAAATGGTCCAAATAGAGTTTGGTAGCAAACGAGACATTCTAAACTACTTAAGCTAATCAAAAAGAGGGGGAAATCTCTAATCACTTTAAATTGTACCAAGTTCTTAGCACAGCAATTACACAGTGAGCTAGTTTAAAGTTCAAACCTTTCATGAATTTTGTTTTATCATATATAGGTTTTTATTTTGATGGATGTGGTATCTGCATCTAGGCAATCTCTAATTATTTTGTTACTTATGATCTGAAAAATTAACTGCTTATTTCTAACATATGATGCAGTTGGTCTTTTCACTTTTGCTTCCATGTTTGATTTTTTCTCAACTTGGACGATCCGTCTCTCTACAGAAAATTATTGAGTGGTAAGATTTCAAATTCACTGCTTCTCTTATGCAGATATTTCTAGAAAACCAGCATCAGTCGTTTCTGTAACAAGTTTATTGTTCAACCTTGGAGTTTTATTGGTGAAACTGATGTAGTTCTCAAAACTTTCAGTCTTGTTGCATGATGTAATAGATATGGATTTCAACATTTTTTTCTTTTTTTTTAACATAACTAATGTGGAGAGATGGTTCCATTGGCCAACTTATATACATAATCAAATATTAGATGATTTACAGATTTAATTTTTTATTACTAATGGTGTGAATGCCGGATAACTATCCATGTTTTTTTATTACTTGATGGAAAATGTCTGCTTATTTTCTTATGAACTTGCATGCATTAACCCTTTGCTGGTAGCTCGTCAAAATAGTATGAACATTTAGTATCTTGCCCGATAGTTAAACTGGACATGCCTTTCCTATATGTATCTAATTTGATTGGAGCAAAATATTATTCAATTCTTCTGATGTAATTACCTTATCAATTCAACAATTTTCTTTATAAAATTTATCTCAGTGAGAGTAGTTATTTCTATCTAAGATCTAAGTACTAATATAATCCTGTAATGGTGGCAATTTAAAATGTAGATAGAGGAAATTATGACCTTTTGGTATCTAAGCTGATTTCCTTGGGCATTTCAAATTTAAAGTGCATGGTAGTTGCATTTGAACCATTCAAAGATCCACTGGTTTGATCATCTATTTTATTTTTAAGCAAGCAAGAAGTCTCCATTTCTTTCACTTTTATTAGCCAAGGAAAAGAAAATGATGCAATCAATTTAATTTGGAATAACATACAGTTAATCATGCTTTTACCTTCTTGTAGCTTTATCGATTTCTGTATAACATGTTAGCAATTGATTTCAAGCCCGAATTTGTGCTACAGGTGGTTTATTCCTTTCAATGTAATTCTGGCTACCATATCAGGCTCACTAATAGGGTTAACTGTTGCATCTGTTGTTCGGCCACCATATCCATTCTTCAAGTTTACCATTGTACAAATTGGAATCGGTAAGTTACACTGTCAGAGTGTAGGACATTTGAGCTGTCTATATGGATATCAGGCCCTGTAGTCTCTAGTAGGTAGAACATTAAGTTCCAAAGAAAATGCATTCTGACTTCTTAGTTATATTTGAATGCAGGGAACATTGGAAATGTGCCCCTTGTCCTGATTGCCGCTTTATGTCGAGACAAATCTAATCCCTTTGGTGACTCAAATAAGTGTAGACAAGATGGAAATGCCTATATCGCATTTGGCCAATGGGTAGGCATCAAGTTATATTTGTGTTCTCAGTAGTTCTTTTTTTTGGTACCTTGTGTACTGCTTTTTTTTTTGATAAGCAAGTAGAATTTCATTAAAGAGTGGATGAGCTCCCCACTAGAGCAAAAGATACATGAAAGAAGAGCTGATTATACATCCAGCTCAAAGATTACAGAGGACCAACTATTGTGTACTGCTTTGCTTATTCTTAGTAGCTCATTCATTCAAAAATACAAATATCTATATCACCTAAAAATTCTGAAATTGGTGTAGGAATTGGAAATTTGATTTATTTCTCCCTGGATTCTTTCCTTGTTCCCGTATTTATATCACCAAATCTCCAATTGACTGATGCTTGGTTAAAACTGCCTCCTCAGGGCATTATTATGTAATTGATACAACACTTGGATGATCTTCAAATAGAAAATTCAGGATGGAGAATTTATTAGTTTGATGATCTTCAAATAGCAAAAACCCTCAGATTCATATCAGGAGTTATATGGGCTGGGCTTAGCACTTGCGTTAAAGGCTCTAGTTTGGGCCTGGGCCTAGGATGGAAATTTTCCCCATTACCCCAATCCCCACAAGGACCTGCCCCTATCAGGGGTGATCATGGCTGGGCTTAGCACCTATGTTAAAGGCTCTAGTTTGGGCCTGGGCCTAGGGATGGCAATTTTCCCCATTTCCCCAATCCCCCTGGGGACCCTCCCCGAATGGGGTGCGGATGGGGATGATTTTTCCCCCGTGGGGATGGGGATGGGGTGGGGACCGGTAGAGCACTCTCCTGCCCTATGGGGCCCCTGATCCCTACCCCGTGGGTATCCTTGCTATATGGTTGAATATATTTGGATCTTTCTTAATAGGATAGTAAATTTTAACTATTTTATTTTTAATTTTTAAATGAAATAAAAAAAAAACAAAACAAAACAAAATGATTGACATCATAAAAAAACCATTGGGAATGGGGATCCCATGGGGACTGGGATGGGGATAACCTTGTCCCTGCTGGTGGGGATGGGAATTGGGATTTTCACAGGGACAGGGATGGCGAGTGGCTCCCCATCCCTGCCCCGCCCTGTTGCCATTCCTGCCCGGGCTTGGCCTAGTCCCAACCCCAAGCCTGGGCCTGGTTAGAAATGATCACCCCTAATTCATATCCTTTCTTCCTTCTATGGGAAACAGATATGTAGGGTTAGAAAAAACATAATGATTCGTATATGTTGATGTCTGACTTATTCACATGGTTTTGGAGTCTACTCTGGTAACTTGTTTAAAGTCTTCAGCAAATGCTAAGTCATGAATTTTCTTAACTCGACCCAAAGCCTGATTGACTTGTATATAAAAAATTGGTGTTTATGTGTCAGGTTGGTGCCATCATTCTATACACATACGTATTTCAGATGCTCGCACCTCCACCAGAAGGTTCCTTTGAGATTGAGGCTGGAAATCTTCCAATCAAGAACCCTCCGAAAAATTGCACACCTGAGCAAGCTCCCTTGCTTACACAGGAGCCTGAGTCAATGGATTCAAATAAGTCAAAGGGTGGAAAGGTAAGAAGAAACTCTTCTTCATTAAGTTTTAGTTTATTTTCTTTCCTTTTTCTCTGTTGGCCTTTCTCATCATCATCATCTCTGGTTTTGTTATTTTTTGGGATCGACAAACTGGGTCTAACATGTTGGCAATTTGGCTGAGAATCTATAGACTGACTTCTTCAGTAAAATTAATTTTCCAAACCAAGTTTTTTTTTTTACAATTTTTGTGTAATTTAACATTTAGTTATGGCCATTCTGTTGTCAATTGCCATGATTTCTAGAGATTCATATGCTAGAGATCTGAATATGTTCTTCCCCCCTACAGAATACCTGAATAATTGATATGCGAAAGGATGGGTTGTACATAATTTTGTCCTATTGTATTAGTTTGCATTAGTAGCACTGTATCATATGTATCTCTCCTACTATAATATCCCTCTTCATCAAATACTGCAATAAAATCCCAAATACATTTCTTGCACTAAGGATATTTTCTCTTACTCCAGTGTCTCTAAAAACTTGATACCAACTGCAATAGCTCAACCCAACAAACTGCCAATCCTAATCGAAACCAAGCTCTGATGCCATATTACCCCCTAGGGTGTTGAAGCTCCTTTTTGGTTCCAACCTTAAAGCTTGAAACCAAGTTGCAAGAAAGGGGAAAAGTAGAAGACAAGACTAAAGGGGCATCTAGAGTAGTTAATTCCCATCTGGGCCAAGGTAGAAATAAGAGAAAGATATATATGATTCAGCAACTACTTTATGCTAATACAATGTGGCAAAACTTTGTCAGCCCTCTTTTCACATGGCAGTCCATGAACCAAGGTAAGACTGATCTCTATTGCAGTATAACTAATGGAAATTGTTCTCCTCTCCTGGATTTGATTACTTAATTTGATCTTCCTCAATTTCCTTTGTTTTCTTTGGAAGGTTGGGTTTTAATTTGTGGTTCATATCTCCTGATCATAAATTCAGTTTAGTTTACTAGCTTAACATGCATTTTTAGGTATATGAGTATATCACAGTCTTGATGTGCAGAGAAGTAAATAAGATTAGTTTTTCTTTTTCAGTAAGCAATTAAAAATCTGATTTTCTTCATTATTTCTTTTTTTTATCAATGATTTTCTTCATTATTTCTAGTTTATGCATTTTAGCTACAACTCCATTATAGAAAAATGACAAAAAAAGTGGTGCCCTCTGAATTTGAATATCCTAACAATCAGCAACTTATTCTACTATCATCAGATAATACATGGAATTTCTAATATAAGTAGACTAAGGCCCTATTGGAGATGCAAAATAGCTGTGATGAAATCATGGAATATATCTGTTGCTTCACAAGCAAAAGGCATTCTATTACTTGCATTTGTTGAAACATTATCCTAAAACTTGTTGGCATTTTCTGAAGGAATCTTGTTTGTCATATTATCATATCTTTGTTCAGTAGGTAAAAGCTTTCCAGAAAGGCTTTGGTTTTACAAGCTCTTTACATTTGTTGATGCAGATTAAAGGTTTCTTGACCTTTTTATATGAGAAGTTGAAGCTCAAGCAAATCCTTCAGCCTCCTATCATTGCTTCTGTGAGTTTAAGCATCTTAAACTTTCAAATTCTTACATCATCTTTCCTGGGAAAATTTCTTTTGTAATTGAATGTGGTAATGAAGATCAGAACTATGTTTTACATAACACCAAAATGGTGACTACCAATTTTTTAAAGGGCAGCCCAGTGCACGAGTCTCCCGCCAATGTGTGGTCTAGGTCTGGGGAGGGACAGATGTACGCAGCCTTACCCCTGCACATACAGGGAAGCTGTTTCCAAGGGTTTAAACATTTTGTTAAGTCTATTAGCATAATTTTAGAGACCATACAGTGTGTGTACCAAGATCCTAGTGCCCATTGTCATGTTTAAGTTCATCTGCTTGTTGATTTTGAATAAGAATAGGACTCATTAGCTACTATTTCTTATTTTAAAAATAACCCAATTCATGGAATTCCATTTTTGAACAATCTTGGTGATTCAGCTTGATTGCTTTGGTTCATTGCAAAGGCATATAAAGCACTAGGCAACTAGGAAGGTTCATTGTTTCCTAAGCCTAGAAATTCACCTGAAACTTCATTTTTGATGTGCCTAGCAGCTAAATGCACCGAAGTCAAGGATCATCTTGCTGATGACATAGTCCCTTCTTCCATTACCCGATGATTTGTTCTTCATCAAGTTCATTCATCCTTAACATTTTGACTTAAAATGTTATTTTATAATTTCCCAAGAAGGCTTGCTTGCTTTGATTATTTATTTTTCAAATTCTCATTGAGTTTTTTATTATTATTTTTATTTTTTGATGTTGTGTGTATATCATTATGTGCTGGCCGCAGATCCTGGCAATAATAATTGGGTGTGTACCGGTTTTGAAGCGCTTCATCCTTACAGATGATGCACCACTCTTCTTCTTTACTGACAGTTGCATAATTCTTGGGTACGTATAGTTGTATCTTTTACAATACAAGTATGTGTGACCATGTGTGTTTGTATGATGGCCTTGTTTTACTGTCATGCATTGAAACAGCAATTCTACTTACCAACAACAGCAACAGTGAAAGCAGTTAAAGAATTCCTTTGAAAATGTGAAATGGAAAAAGAAAAAAGAAAAGAAAAGAAAGTAAAACAATTTTCTTGATGAGAAAGAAAGTAAAATATCATAATTGGGGATTCTGAGGTATTAGTTTGTAGGTCATAAGAACATGCAAAAGCATATTGACACAAATATGTTTGCCGTCCTTGTTTATATGAAACTAATGCATGGAAAATGTAATTTCTAAGTTAAGTTTGTAATTTTTTTATACAAATTAATGGAAACGTTATCCTTGCAGAAGAAATATATTTGCAGAGCTAAAACATGACCAGGAATACATAGGGCCATAGGTGTGGTGTTCCCAGCACCTGTTACTGTCTCCTTTTTATGGATGGGGATCCCATTGTAGCATGTCTTGACCTACATTTGGAGCTTGGAAACAACTATTTTGTGTCTTTTCAATTGGGTAGCAAAATATGTGAAGATAAAAAATTAAAAAAAAAAAAAACAATGTATCTAAATAAATATATGATAAATTGAAGTTTGATTGTAACATCTCTTCACCCTGTACCTTGTAGAACAATAAGTGTTCTTTAATAATGGTAATGTCCAACTTCTGTACACCAACCGACAGGGAAGTGATGGCTCATTTACTTTAACTTCTACACCCTAATTACAAATATATTAGGTACAAGATGAATTTTGCATATTCATTTGTAGCCCACTGATACTCATCTATAGTAGCATTTTTTTTCTTAAGCTTACCTATAGCTGGTTTGTTGATTTCTAATGATATCTACAATGATATTTTTAATAGGGAGGCCATGATACCATGCATTTTGCTGGCGTTGGGTGGTAATCTTGTAGATGGTAAGCTTTTATTCCATGTTATTTTGTTTTGAGAAGAGCCCTGAGGGGCATACAACAGACACTTGAAACCACAGTCAAATTGGCTATTTGTTACCCAATATTATAGTTAGATTTTCCTCAAGGTGTCAACTCAACAAATTATTTGGCCTCTTTGCTTGATGCAGGGCCGGGAAGTTCAAAATTAGGACTACGAACAACTGCTGCTATTATCTTTGGGAGGTTGGTTCTGGTTCCACCTGCCGGACTGGGGATTGTTATGCTAGCTGATAAGCTTGGACTTCTACCAGCTGGAGATAAGATGTTCAGATTTGTCCTTCTTCTCCAGCATACAATGCCTACATCCGTGCTTTCTGGTGAGATTTTGTTCCCTTTTTACTTTGCTTTTTAAAACACTCAAAAACCTGTGATGGATCGATCTATTGAGTACAAGCTATATTCTCTAGTTATATGACATAAATCCATGATGTTTTATTAGTAATATTGCAACTTAAAAAGGTTTGTGTATGGTTGCTTTCTTGCGTACTCTGTTAGTAATATTGCAAGGCAAGGAATTATTACCTTATTTATTTATTTCTTGGGGCTTGTAGGAGCTGTTGCCAATTTAAGAGGTTGCGGAAGGGAGGCAGCTGCTGTTCTTTTCTGGGTGCACGTCTTTGCTGTCTTCTCAATGGCTGGTTGGATTGTTCTCTATCTCCGCATACTATTCTGAGAGGATATATATATATGAATTTACGATTCCCCTGCCCTTGGTCATGGCTTTGCGTTGGCGCGCTATCATTTTCTTACCAAGATAATATGGTTTACAGTTTTTGTTGATGAAAAATATATAATATTATCTTTTCGATATAAATCTTTGCTGTGTAACCATAAATTTGTAGGAGCAGTACTGCACTTTACAAGGAGCGCCTTTGTTTATATAAGCAACTCTTTTTAGGGTGCTCCGTGTTCGAGAGGGGTCTTGCTCTTGCACTTATTTATTGCTCAATTTTAGCCGGAGAACACAAGGCCCTTGGTTTCTATATCTTTTTTCCATTGCTGTAAATGCAAGCAGAGTTTGGTGGGAATTTTGTCTGTGATGATGCAAATATGATCGTCTCATTCTCCTCATGGTCATGGTTGGCAAGGATCCGGTAGGGCATATCGGCCCCTATCAATACTTTTTTTTTTTAAGTTTTATTTATTTTTTTCAAAACCGGTTCAGAGGGGTCGGTTTAAGGCCCGGCTACCCTCTGAACCATGGTCTGACCCGATACAACCTCTAGAGGGGTACCCATATTGGGAAGCCATCGACACGGGCCGATACGTGTCAATACTTTGAACCTTGATGGTCGGTAATCTTAGGCCATGTTTGGTAGTGCTTATTTCAAAAATAAGGGATTATTTTTTACGCTCAAACTTCCAGCTTTTTCAAGTGCTTATTCAAATTTTTACTCCAAAAATTATCCATGGCAAATTTTTAGAATACTAATTATATCCTTTTACAAAAGCATTCTTAAAGTAATTTTACATGAAAGCAGTTTTGTAAAAGTGTTTTTATGAAAATGCTTTTACAAAAGTATTTTTATAAAAGAACTTTCACCAAAGTACTTTTATTCATTCACTTTGAATTGGAGATTTTGAAAATTTAAAAGAAAATAAAGGACAAAAGAGTAGCAAGTGCTCATTTAAGTGGTTGTTGGAGAAAAAGACCAAATATGAAATATATGCTTATTTTTTAAAATAAACATTTGAAAATACTAGATGTCAAATGCAAATAAGTGTTTATTCGAATAAACACTTAGTTTCTAAGCACATATTTTTAACATAAGCACTCCCAAACATGGCCTAAAGTAAAATATTTTAAATCTTTACTTGCTGACCATTTCCATTGCTCGTAGCCAGTAGCCATCTTTTTGTTATTCCCAATTTCCCACCTCAAACTATTTTTTCTAACCTTCTTTTTTGTTTTTGTATTTTACTCAATTTTGAAACTTTATATTTTGTATTATTTTATATATAATTATTACACATTTGTATCTGTACAATTGTACTCTTTAAAACTACATGGTATCGAATAAAAAAAAATGTCAAGACTCGTTCTCTTTCACTACTTTGAAGCCACAAATCGTACTTTCTTTGATTCATTAGGCCTCCTAAACGAATTTTCGATCTGTTTACGAGAGGCCTAGGGTCCAACATAAAAACTTTGGCTGGCTGTTTGAGACCTTTCTGTGCATGGCACGACACGTTATCATGGCCATGTGGGATGAAATAAAAATAATAGCAACCAATACTTTTTTGAGAGAATGAAGGTTCGGCCCAGGATCAGAATTCTTAGGCCCAAAGTACAGTTGGAGTAGGTGTAGCTCGAAATTGATGCCAATTCACAGGCGGGCATTGATGTATAAAATGATGGTATTTGACATTTTGAATGTTTATAGGTCCACAATGTAATTCAGAAATCTGCATTGGGCCTGTCCTCAATTTTTTTAGCCCAAAAGACAAGTAAAGAACTGAGTGGGTGAACACATCATGTGTTGAAGTGCAGTAAGCTGAGAAATAGGAGTTTGGATCTCCTACCAACAAAAAAACCATTCCGACATGTTTCAGTTTCAACATGATCTCTCTCTTCACACATTTCATACATGATGGGTCATAATCATGGTTTTCAAAACTGGATCGGACCGGATGGTCAGACCGGAAAATTGGGAATCGGTCACCTGACCGGTTCTGTTTTTCCCCAAACCCGCTTTTTCTCCCAAAACCGTTGATTTTGGTCAGCAAACTGCTGAATCAGCCGGTTAACCGTTTGAATAGTTTTGACCATTTTTCAAATTTTTTTATTTTTTTTGTCAGAATGAGCTGATCGTTCGGGTTGAACAGTCGGACTGTTCAAACCGGTAACCGGACCCCTGACCAGTCCGGTCACCGGTTCGGTTTTAAAAACCATGGTCCTAATCTTTATGGTGAGATGTATTGAATATGGGGTGCAATTTTTGCAGGTTAGGATTAGGATTTTATCAAAATTTCAATGGGCTCAAAACCCAAGCCCAAAACAGTATAAACTGTTAACTGGAGCCAATCTGACTTGCACCCTTTTAAAACCATGTTGAAATAGTTTTTTTTTTATATCCTAATGCTCAGTTTGGAAGCAATACAAATACAAATATATACAGTACAAATATATACAAAATACAAGGTTTTGTACTTTACAAATTTATATTTGTAGTTCTTCCAAACTGACCCTAACTTGAAAAACAGCCTCCAAATAACCAAAGTTTTTTTGGGGGTCCAAAAACATGTTTACAGTTCGCGTAATTCATACTCCAAATCTCCAATAACGCCTCTAGGTATGAGCATTATTGCTCCATTGTGCGTGTTGGGATCATGAGCTATGAGGACTGTCCACTGCGTTCCTCAGTGTTCGAATATCACTCAAAAGAAAAAAAAGAGAGAGAGAGAGATCCTATTATGTTTAATCATGATTTTGAATTATTTTTGAGCTTTGTTGGAATCTTTTCATCGATCCAAAATTTTGAATTATAGTAGGCTGACATGTTTTTAGAGGATTAATTCCTTTGATTCTAAGAATCACTTTTAAGTTTGAATTAAATTATTGGAACTTTTTCCTATCTTTCAAGTTCAAAATTATTCTAAGAATTGATTCTTTGAGCAGAATTGTGACCTAATAGTAATAGCCCTGGACGGGACACCTAATCATACTGAGTTCTGTAGTCAATCTTTAACGAGGGACCCATACTATGGTGGATCATAATCCTTTGTACATGACTACATGTGCCATGGCATCTCAAGAGGACACTTTTAGACTCTGCTTCTTCTGCCATCTAAGATCCTCCTCTATGATCAGCCATTGAATTGTTTTGTAAATCTGTACTATTGTTTACAAACTTAATTTATATGCCATTCTTGTTTTCGTGTTCATATGCATAATTTGTTTACCTTCAGGCTCCGTTCGCTTTTCGGTAGGTTATTTATTTGGGTAAGTGTTTTCCAATAAAGACTTATTCGGGTAAGTGCATTTATTCATGTTCTTTTATTTTCTATGTGAATAAAGCAATGATTATTTTAATCATAAAAATCCATTAGTATTAAAAGGGGTATTTTTGTCCTATTCAATTATCGGTAGAAAAATTATTTATCCACCTAGGAGATGGGTACCACTTGTGATACCAAGAAAAATAAATTTTCCCTGATTCCCACATAAATCTAAAAAAAGAACATGAGTTTTTTAGTCAATGAGAATTCTCATTAACCAACTTTCCCCTCTTAAAATAAAAAAATAAAAATAAAATAAAAGGAACGCCCCCTTGGATTTAAATTATACAACTTCTAATTTCTTAGTATATTTTTTTTATTAAATTCAACAAACATTAATGGTTTAAATTACCGACACAAAATAAGTTCATGGCAAACTTTTAATACATTAGTGCTAATAGGTCCACCTGAGCCTGGCCCAGGCCAAGCCCAATAATCTGAGGGTGTCAACTGTCAAGTTTGGGCTACGCCTGAGTTGGGCAATTTAAATTTCTTTGAACCCTGTATGCATGATGCATCCTTTTACTTTCCAATTAATGGATTTAGGTATTATCAATCACAACCACTTAATTAGCTGGATCCTCTCTCTCTCTCTCTCTTGCCAAGTATATAATGGCCTTCACATTTTAGTTAGAAATGTCAATATCCCACCACCACGTTTGTCTTCGTTTTCCACGGAAAAAAAGAGTATTTGCAATTAATATTTTCAGTCAAAAAGACAAACAAAAAACTGAATGGGGCAACGTGTCATGGCTGGAAACTGAAAAAGGCTATTTTTCTCAAACAGCCAATGTTTTTCTTTGTTATGCCCATCTCTTCATTAACCATTCCCTTACTCCACCTCAGCCTTGAATCCAATCAGCCATTGAGTAGCAGACCCCATTAAGTATAAAGCCGAACCCCACCCTACAATTAATCGGTCATCTCAACTCTGAACCGATAGACCCAATTATATTTGACAAGCCTTTAGCTTGCTAATTTGACAATAAAACTGTAATTAATCTATGTTCTTAAAAGTTAAAATATCCTATAATATATCCCTAGCTCTGCATGTTTATGTTCATTTCGGGTTTCAATTGAACCAAAACAGCTAAGCCTATTACAATTGGAACTAAGTGTGCGCAGACCCAGATGGGTCATTGGGGTTGAGTCGGTTGACCACAACACCATCGACAGCCCTAGGCACGGTATACAGAAACGAGGATAGTGAGAGACACTGATCAGGCCAGCCTGGAAATTGAATCAGTTACCCAAGATTTCTTAGAATTGTTATTGGTTTCCAGTCTGGGAATTAAATTACTTGTATAGTTACTAATTATGTTCTTACACTTGCTACTAATATACGCAAAGTAATTAAAGCCCAGTGCAAGAAAAATTACGTCCTTGAGGGCTGGAGACTAACTAGACAATTCAGACTGTCTAGAGATTGTTCTGTTACCTGTTAGAAGAAGACTCACCGGAAGCAGATGGAAAAATTGATGGTGGGAAAGTGCCATACAAAACTCTGGTTCGTCATCTTTGCCTCTTTTGCTCTATGGTTCATCTTGTTTTACTTCAATTCTTCTTCTTTACCAAATAGAAAGAACAGATATATACACTCTTTGTTGTCCCCCTATTGGACTCCGCTACTCGTTCCAGAGAATAATACTCAACTCAACAGTGGAAAACCATTAATGGGTAGCGGGTTGGAGCCTGCAGTTAGCCAACTAGATGTCAGTGGAAATGGGTCCGAGTATAATAACCATGTTAACAGTAGATTACCTGATGATAATGCTTCTTCTGCCACCAACACCATTGATAATGGGAGTTTGGCTGATTCTAATTCATGTTCAGGTCGCTATATTCATATGTATGATCTTCCTATTCGATTCAATGATGATGTTATTAAGGACTGTAGGTCCCTCAATGTATGGTATGATATGTGCCGACCATTGACAAACAGGGGACTCGGTCCCCAACTGATCAACTGCAACAAGGTCTTCTCTGATAAGGGCTGGTATGAGACAGACCAATTCATGTTAGAGATCATCTTCCATGAAAGGATGAAGCGATACGAGTGCTTAACAAACGATTCATCCTTGGCATCAGCACACTATGTGCCCTTCTATGCAGGTTTTGACGTAAGCCGTTACCTCTGGGGATTTAACACATCCATTCGAGATGCCACTCCTCTTGCTCTTATTAATTGGCTCAGAGAGAGAAGTGAATGGAAGGTTTTGGGGGGAAGAGACCACTTCCTAGTTGCAGGAAGAACCACATGGGAATTCAGGAGGTTGACAGAAGAGGACTCCGACTGGGGCAACAGGCTTATGGTCTTACCTGAAGGTAAGAACATGACGATGTTAGTGATTGAGTCAAGCCCTTGGCACAGAAATGATTTTGCAATACCATATCCCACCTACTTTCATCCTTCAACAGATGATGAGGTCTTCCAGTGGCAGAATAGGATAAGGAGATTGAGAAGGAGATACTTGTTTTCCTTCGCTGGTGCCCCACGTCCCAATATTTCAGGGTCGGTCAGGGGCCAGATTATCGAGCAGTGCCAAGCTTCTAACAAGTGTAGGTTGTTAGACTGTTCCACAAAAAGCAATTGCCAAAATCCGAGTAACGTGATGAAGTTGTTTCAAACTTCAGCTTTCTGCTTACAGCCTCCTGGGGACTCGTATACTCGGAGATCAGCTTTTGATTCGATGTTGGCTGGGTGTATACCAGTTTTCTTCCATCCAGGTTCTGCGTACGTGCAGTATCTGTGGCACCTACCCAAGAATTACACAAAATATTCTGTGTTTATTTCGGAGGATGATGTCAAGGCAGGGAATGTCAGCATAGAGGAGAAGCTGCGTAGGATTCCTAAAGAGGAGGTGAAAGCTATGAGGGAGCAAGTGATACAGCTAATTCCTGGACTGATATATGCAAATCCAAGTTCCACACTGGAGACTGTCGAAGATGCTTTCGATTTAGCAGTTCGAGGAGTGATTGATAGGGTTAATAGAATCAGGAAGGAGATTAAAGATGGGGTGAATTCTGATTTGAGTTACGACGAGATAGACAGTTGGAAGTATAATTTGTTTGGGACAGTGGAAAAGCATGAATGGGATTCTTTCTTTTATAAATGGAAGTATACAAAATCTTAAGTCAAAAAACAGAAAAATGGAATAAGAGTTGAATCAGTTCAATTGTAAAGCAAAGATAGAACTAGGTAAAGCACCCATTACCCATTTGTGGTCACTACTCAATACTCACTATAGAAAAAAAAAAAAACTGTAGTTTGGTAAACTTGCCTTAGAAGTTGAAGGAAGTTCAGTGATCTTTTTTTTCTCTTCTATAGAATATAAGCCAGGAGAAAACTTCAGTTGTATTAATGCTTTAATTGTTGCAAATCTTCACAACAATAATCTCAACCAGGGAAAGATCTTCCTCAGTTAATCTCAGTTCCACTGTCATTTTTTCTGCTAAATTACTTGAATCATGAAAGGGACTTTCTTGAATTGTCCACTTCAGAGGCAGCGTCGACAGTTGCCTCTGCAACCAAGACGCCACTGAATGTTGAAGCCCCTCCCAACAAGATTGTTGATCTAATAGCCAATGTCTGGATTTTTCAGCCTGAGATTTGTATTACTTCTCAACATGGTTCTTCAGTTCAGGGTGGTTGTATTTAAGAGAGATGAGACATTGAGGGGGGTTTCATTTTCTTCAGCTATAAAGAGGCATTGAGGTGTCGGAATACTTGTTACTTAACTAACTTTTGTAAACCTATAAACCATCGATAAATATTTTCATATTACGAATGCGGGAATGCTAGTATTCTTTCTTTGTTGGATCATGGATGTGATATATCTAGGCAATGTTTTGCATTAATGCTGTTTTACGAGAAAACGGTGCCACCTAGGTACCATATTAAAGAAAATGGTACTTCAAACAAACACCCTTTTGTTTGGTATTTTTTCTTTTTCAGAAAAAAAAACGTTCTTCTATACCACACTTGTCTAGAACATGATTTTTAAAATCGAACCGGTTATAGGTCCGATTACCGGGTTGAATGGTCCGATCGTTCGAACCGAATGATCAATCCGTTCTGACAAAAATTAAAAAATAAGTCTGAACTTACTCTGTTCAGACTTCAGATACCACACCAAAGGCCAGCAAGGATGGCGTCCACTACTGCCATCAACTCCCCATTTTCCACCAACACCGCCAATTGTGTTCGGAAAATCACCCATTTCCAATGCGCTACCGTTAATAGCTTCGTTGGCCTCCAGAAAACCACGAGAATCATCATTTCCTCTCTCGCGCCACTGCGAGTCCTTGGTAAATAGAGGTTGTTGCTGGTTATAAAATGCAAACCGCCATAGGTGAAGTTCACTGCCGTCGCCGATCACTGTGAATCGCCGTCAGTCGTGGTTGCCACAAGTCGTGAGTCAGGGTATGAAGACTGAGAGGAGGGAAGGGTGAGAACAAAAATGAACGACTTTCGTTCTAACCCTAAAGGCCTAATTTGTAAGAGTTTTTTTTTTGTTTTTATTATTTTTTTAAATCAATGAAAATGAATTTTGTAACCCACGACCCACTGCCCGGGTTGAACAGTTTAGCGGTTTGACCACCTGGGTCAGCGGTTTTCTAACTTTTTCAACGGTTTTTTAGGATTTAGCAGTTTATAGTATAATCAGACCCGGAGGGCTAAACAGTTACTGGTTTCCTGGTCCGACCGTTCAATCCAGTCCGGCTTTGAAAACCATGGTCTGGAGCAACACCAAATTCAATGTTTTTTAAGAAAACGGTGTATTGCTGCCAATGATGCAATAACATGGCACCATGTGACATATAACATTCATACCAAACAAAACCAGTGTTGTTTTCTCAAAAAAAGCCTATGTGGCAGCACTGGTTACAAACAAAAATAAGTGCCATTTTCTGAAAAAAAATAATGCTTACAATTTCACATGCCCAACACCATTTTTCTAAAAAAAAATGGTGAGATATTTCCAGCACCGATGCCAAACACCTACCTATTAAGAATGTTACAAGATCGAGTGTATTTCATTTATCATACACACTTCATACTTTAGCAAGATTTGAGAGTAGTATTGCAAATATTACCTCTCTCTCTCTCTCACTATATATATATATATATATATAACTGTTGGTTGTTTCCATCCTAAACTTCCAAGGAAGTGAATTTAGGAAAGAAGCTTAGCGCCTGAGCGAGCTTAACAAAACGTGCACCAGTGAATGACAAATGAAGCCCCGCGAGCCCGCGTCCAATGAACGAAGATAGGACCGGGATGTACTTATAGGGATTTACCTGCCTGTGGGGTGTGGCTGTGGGGTGCGTGAGTGACTAGCATATAGGAAAGCTATTGAGAAAGTCTATCAGAACCCAGTGACAGGCCACAGGATGCTTACAAATCTCAATAACACGTATCAATCCCGTTTCCTTGTTTGTAAATATGTTCATGGTGTTTATTTTTCACTTTTCTTGCTGGCTTACCTGGTTTTTGTAATCTGGGTCTTGACAAATTGTAATCTGGCTCATCTCTTTATCAACACATTCAACAAATTGGATGTGTCCAAACCTTGGGTCTTGACAAATTGTAAATGGTGGAACACGATTCCTGTTGGGCATAAAACTAGTTGATCTGAGTTGTATGTAATCAATTCAATTCACTAGTCACCACCCATAAAATTAGCACTCACTAGTCAATACAGTAAGCCTTCATGTAACAGCAGTACTCCCACCTACCTCCCGGGCCCTCTTCCAACTAAAATTATCAATTTGCAATGCCCAGTTCAGTGTTCGCGTCCAATTGGAATGCATGACTAATTGACCACGTCCTGTAACAAACTGAACTTCTTAGGGTTGGGCTATATGGTGTATATTTGTCCGACCATTTTCTCTAGACAAGGTCGATGCAGATAACTTCTTTGCGCCTTGCGGCCTGTTAATTTTAATAATCACCACCATACCCATCTTCTTCTTCCAAGCCCTGTCCCATAAATTTCCAACTTTACGACCTATTATGCTCTTCTTCTTGTCTGGCTCACAAATTCTGTACACATTAAAGCATTATGTCAAGGCAGAAAACCTCAATCTCAAAAGTTCCAATCCAAAGCCACTTGTTCATGTAAAAAACTATTACAATTACTGATTTAATGTCAAACAAGGTTTTAATCACATAGGACCTTAGAAAAAAGACCACCATCTCCTTTTCCTGTTCTCCCTCTGATCATGTATGAAGGATCTCCCAGAAGATCTATCAACTTGCTGCCCATGCTGCCATTGGAAGCCACAATGGCCTCTTCGCCCACCTTCAACATGAGAGTTCCGGAACCACAAAACAAGAGCAATACCAACAAGGCTGAAAATTGGAGCAGTAGCAAGAAAAAACCACCTTCCTCTTCCACCTCCTCTGGTAGAGCTAACTGTTGCACATTCCAGACCAGCTTCATGAGTTTCATCTTCCTCACAATCAGTGGACACATCAGAGGAACCATCCTCACTTGGGTCCTGCTGCTGAATCTCATTATTTCCTATTGTTCTAGAGGCAGCGTTCCTTTTCTCTTCATAATCCTTGTCATCAGTGGGAAGCTCATAGCGACAAAGGGGACAAGAGTTTCTAGCACTCAACCATGGCAAAATACAGGAAGGGTGATAAAAGTGCAAACAGGGAAGCTGAGTAGATTCAGTACCGATGGGTAGAGAATCTTTACAAATAGCACAAACCAAGCCGCCTCCCTTCTCCTGTTCCTCATTAACGACTATACGAGGCAAACTGTCCACAAAAGAAGCAGCTGCTGGGGGTGCTCCTTGTCTTGAGTTGTCAGACTGTGCAAGTTGGTCAAGAAGTTCTTCAAAGCCTCTTGAATCAAGATAATCACCAAAGCGACCCATATATGTACGCCTACTTTCGTGGATTCTCCAATGAATACCCCCACTTTCAGGAGATGGAATCCCTCTCAGCCAATTCATGGGGCCATCATTTTCCCCAGGACTCCTGGTGACAGCATTTTGGACCCAACCTTCTGCTCCTCTGGTTTCAATTGTATTTTCCTCAAAACCATCTCCTTCCCATCCAACATCTCCTACATCTTCGTCATCCGAGTCCCAGTAATTAGGACCTGCATGCATAGGGTCGATGTCAGTATCACTGTTGATATTGCTTCCATCATCTGGTTGGATGAAGATTTCTCTATCCAGGAAACCATTTCCATCCACGGATATATCAGAGTCCCCACCATAAGCACTGAAAGAAATCGCATCACTCTCACCATGAAAAACCCCATTCCAACTAAAACTGACATTTGATTCACTCTCTCCAAAAACAGAATCATAGTTATCAAAACCCTCACTTTCATTGTCAGACAGCACCCTCCTCCATCTCCTAGACCCACTTGGAGTGGTATGAGAACTCGCATGCCGCAGCCCCGTTGCAGCAGCATCACCTTCTATTAGTTGGGTACCATGCTCAAAGGTAGAAATGGGGACAGTATGCTGGTTATGTCTAACCAGATTAATCAGATGTGAGAACTGTTGTGAAAATAGATCTTCTATTGACTCAGAACTCCTACTATACCTGGCTCTTCTTCCTCTGGGTGGCCTTCTCTGATGAGACTCTCGTATGGTCATCTCTAAATCTTCAAGGAACATAGCTTTGCAATCCCTGCATACATTGATAGTTTCTGGATCTTCACTCACCTCATTATCTGTATAGAAGATCCTCTGGCATAAGCCACAATGTGCCTCCATCTGGTCAGAATGGTTAACCACTGCACTACTATTCATCTGGGAAAGTTCTGCAGTCTCATCCTCCAAGGGAATATTATGAGATTCCGCATCCATATGGAACTGGTTATAAGATAAAAACCAAAGGCCAATAACATGAGGAATTGGTAAGATAAAAACCAAAGGCCAAACATACATGATATCAATAATGAAGAATCATGATACCATTCTAACACAGGAGCTTAAACTGAATACAGGAAATATTAGCCCGTCAACATAGAGAACTACACAAAACTAACAATCAAATATTTTATATTTATTTGTAGTGCTCACCTTACAGGAACTGCACACTGTGACTAATTAGAACATATAAACAAAAGGCATCAACAGGACAAATAAATAGAGATGCCCACAAAAGGAGAAGACCCCTATCCACTGAACTACCAAATAGAAGTTACATTTGGCATCTGCAATAGCAGGCTTTAACAGTTATAACATCAAGATCCAATAGATTCCGTCTACAATGTCATAGTATAGTGTAAAATTCACAATGAGCAATATTACAATCACAAATTGAGAACATTTTAATATGTAAGAAACATTTTATTTTGTACTAATGAATCTTTTTTATCACCCAATACCAGTTAACAATTTCTATATTTCATTGATAACACTGAAATGTTTGCATTAGCATGTAAAAAAATAAACGAAATTTACAATGCTGATTGTGCACAGGCAACCCCACAATCCTTTTAATTTACCCCTCAAGCCCATGATGCCCCCCTTTCTTTTCTTTAATTACATATATGAATCCACTGTCCTGTAGTAGTTACCTAATAAAATTGATCCCTACCGGTACCTTGTTTTGCAAGTGAATCTACCATTCCATTTACTGATCTACGTATTCGAATGAAGATTATCCTCATCTCCCTTGCTATTTGCCTGATCTCTCTCGTGGTGTGCCTATACTGCCATGGTGCTGGAGTATAGTGCTTGAGACATCTAATTATTACTCTCAAGTCCCCTTCCACCATCAAATCCTTATGGTTAAGTGTTTTTTCAAGAAAGAGTATCAAAAGAGTGGTTATTTCCACTCCCAAATAGAAGCATTCTTTGTCAGACATGTGCCTATTCACTCTCAAAAAAAAAGTATGAGCTTCAAATGGTAGTTACCTCTAAACAAATCTATATATCAAAAAAAGTATCAAATAAAAAACTAACATAAATTTACAATATAAATAATGGATGTCAAACAAAATTGATCAGAATATTGGTCATGTACTTGGTATGAGGTGGTCATTCTCTAGTATAATATAAAAGTAGGGCAGGAAATAAAAGGCAAAACAGAGAAGTTTTTTTAGGTGTTCTTTCAATAAAGATGTGCTGGTAAGGAACTACCATGAAGAAGAGGGCCACATCAAATAGTTGAAGTTGCACTCATTCTTTGAAAGGAAAAGACTGTAACTACCTATCTCACCCTATGGAGGCTGTTATACCAAACATAACTCGTGTAACTTGTCTACTATATCTTTTTGTTATCAATAACAAGGTAAAAGTTTTTTTAGGTGTTCATTCAATAAAGATGTGCTGGTATGGAGCTACCGTGAACAAGGGGGCCACATCAAATAGTCAAAGTTGCACTCATTCTTTGAAAGCAAAGACTGTAACTACCTATCTCACCCTATGAAGGCTGTTATACCAAACATAACTCATGCAACTTGTCTACTACCTTGTAACAGAATAACAGATATATTGCTGTATCTTTTTGCTATCAGTAACAAAGTATAAGAAAGGAAAGGCAAGTAATTGTTACTTGTCTGAAAAAAGAAAAGAAAAGAAAAGGCAAGCAGTCTCCCTAAAATATGGGGGAAACAGTACCAAGGCCTACAAAACCTTAGGGATCTTTTCTGATAGTAAAATAAAAATTTTATTAAAAGGAAATAAAAGAAATTAAAAGGAGACCAAAAGTCTACCAAGAGAAGATAAAAGCAACCCTACCCTTAAACTCAATCCAACAACAGCACTGAGAAAAACACCCAAAAACAAGCTCACCAAACTACTAGACAGATTAAAAGCAACCAACCAACTCACACAAATATGAACACCAACTCACCAAAACCAAAAAAAAAGAAAGAAAAAGCAATTACAAACAACAAAACCCAAACAAAAGAAACCAGACTCCAACTTATCACCACTCAAAGACCTTCCTTGATTATTGCACACCACCAGCCAGCATTTTGAAAATGAAAAGGTTTACTTCTCTTACTAACTTTCTAAGATTCCTTCACCTTCTTTTTTCTTTTTTCTTTTTTTTTAGATAGATATAAGCCTCCTTCACCTTCTTGATAGGTATGACCTCAAACGAACCCCTTTTCAACCTGGAAAAAACTTTTGAAATCTGAACGGATCAATTATTTTAACAATTTCTGAAGCATCATGTTGCATTGAGAATCTTCTCAAACACTTTCTGATCCATATAGATGTCATTGATCCTCTCTAATTCCGGCACTGCATTCTTCTTAGAGGTCTGATTTGCAACTGTCCTTCACCCTCTACATCATAATCCCCTGCCATGTTAGATGATTTTCTACCCCATTTAAGATCAATTCTTAAATTAAAACCAGCTGGATCATTATCCAGTTTAACATTATCCCTGTCCTTTGAGGGCATATAAAACTTTTCTTCCAACTTTTTAAACATTTTCCTTACAAACTCCTCCCCCAAGAAAAAATAACCCCAAAGTTTTACTCACCTCCAGGTCCTCCACTTCAGTATTCACCACTGTGTCTACATCAATTGATCTTCCAATTTCATGAGTCTCGTCAATAATAACCTCTTCCTCATTGGAAATATCTACCTCCTCCCTCCACTTCAAGTTCAATCTCAGCATCCTCTTGTAATGGCTTAGTTCTGTATTTACTTCTTCTTCTATAGACTTTTGAGCCTAAATTCTCACCTTCTTGTCCCTCTGCACAACCTTCCCCCTCTTTTTCGCAATCAACTTCGTCAGTCACCAATCCCCCTGTCTATCTAAATGCCTAAGACCATCTACCATTGAGTTTTCTAATCTCAGAATTTGGGCCCACCTCAACAGGATGTTTAACCTAGAAGCTAAAGACTGAGGTTCTGTAATCATGATTTTGAATCTCCATGGTTGTGTTGGAATAATGGTAAGATCTCAGGCTGACAAGTGTGAGAACTGATCAGAGTCTGAGGGTGACCACTTTGTACAATTAGGGGTGTCAATTGGACTGGATTTGGTCCAATCCGATCCAGTCCAATGTGCGTCCATTATAAATGGACCAGGTCCAAACCAATCCAATGAATGTTCTGGACCAATTTGGACCGGTCCAATTCAATGTCTGGACCGTCCAATCTGTTCAAATTCATTTTGATTTAGATTGGTTTCAACCCAAACCCAGTCCATTGACATATATATTCTTATCTTATATAAATGGACCAGATATTGGCTTAATCCAACCCAATCCAATATAAATTTGTTACGGACGGACCAGGTCCAATCCAATTTAATAAATATTTTGGACCGGATTGGTCCAATCCAATATGTCTTGTTGGTGTGTCCAATCCATCCAAATTGATTTTGGACTGAACAGGGTCCAATCCAAAACTGGTCCATTGACACCCTTATACAATCAAAGGCCAATGGTTAGGTCCGTATCCAGTCAACTCCTCCCAAGACCCCAGATAGCTGAGACCAGCATCGGGTAATGACTAATGACCTTATGGCTGTGTTTGAGAGCTCTGCTCCATAGCAAACCACCCAATCTCTGAACCATAAGCATGATAGGAACAATAACAGAAGAAATACCTGGGAGGAAGCCCAGCCAAGGATTCACTCTTTTAATACCTATTCTATTTTTAGTTTTTAGTTTGGCTCTTTTGTTCATACTTACCATGCAACTTATCCATCTAATTATTTATTTCCCCTCGTTGAGTTCAAAAACCAGAATACCTAAAACTTATACTTTCAAAAATATCCAACCACCACTACAGCTAGCCTTAATCTTCAAACCCTAAATCCAGTATTTCCTTATAGTACAAACTCATAATTCCTGTTTACAAACATGCCCAACAAGTTCCCAGAAATTTCTCAAGAAAATTAAAATTGGCAATAAGATGTGTACTATAGTTCTCCTAGAAAACCCTATTTATGTACCTTTTAACAGCCTTTAGGACCCCTTTAACCCCTTCTAACATTGAAAAACATAATCTAATGTGACAGTGGCTGTCATTGGACGGTCCAATTGAAATGGATGGGGCAATGATGTTTAAAATAAATAACCATTTTTTGGTAGACTCTATTCTTTGCTAAGACTGAAACTACTATTGGACCATAACATGTGGATATTACGGTGACCATAAATGCTAGCCAAATCCTTCTAA